GACAGTTTGACCTTCATTGTGATTGGTTAAAACACGAGCCAGTATTACCCTGAAAAAGAAAACGTATAACTAATTCTGTCTGTTAAAAGTTTCAGTTACGAACTAAACTGTCGAACTGTCATTAGCTTTCAATTTCAAAGATCCAAGCGTGATATCGTTTGACTTATATTTATATTTTTCAAATCTTGTGCTGTTTTATATTTTTCCTGTGTGTGTCTATCTTCAAACACAGCGCCATCTACTACCTTCTTATAATGAATGCAGTATAGTATAATTAAGTGAACCAGTTTCTTTTAAAAGAGCAAATCAGAATACCTGCACCCCATCGAAATGCACAACTTAGGTGGTTCCACAAAAAACCTACGCACTTAAATTTTACTCAATTGCATTCTTACAAACGCAGGTGATGATCTTACAAGTCTCTCACTTTTCCCTTTCACAAAAAAACTATAAGCGACTTTGCCCTGTAAAATTTTTGTATCAGGGTTACATAAAGGCAAGAAAGTCAAGACCCGCATTATGCGCTTCCCAAAGAAACTTCATTTATAAAGAAGTTATAGAGAACATCTTTGTCAGAATCACAGCAAAATAAGAATGGGATAAATTCGTTCACAGATACATTTTCGAGCATTATGGTACCGGGGTACAAAGCTTCTCGTTTAAAATTACATGTGGGAAACCAATTGAAAGGGCCAATTCTCGCTCGTCAGAAGGTAGAAAATGGTGTTAGAATCACAGAAATTCGAGGAGTTATGCCTTTCCACATCCTGATACAATTTCTTCCTATAAAGAAATATTGTATCAGGATCAAACGCAATTAGACGATCTAGAATTCAGCTTTTCACGCAACTCTATACAAATGTATCATTTCTGTTTCAGAATTAAGGCACTGCAAGAATAATGTACCTACAATTTAAGTACTATAGATACACTGCCATCATTCTGTTCTCCTGATCTTTTTATCAAAATCATTGGTCCGTCAGGGTAAAATTTCAAGAAACAAATAGGTACATATTCATGCATTCTGTTCTCCTGATTTAAGGTTTTTGTCCTTTAAACCTGTCGTGTCAGTTCATGTGTTCCGGTCTTTAAGAACCCTAAAGTGCTTTAAAAACCTTAAAATGAATCTTTAAGAGTATACCCTTTAAAGGTCACATTCTCTCAGTGTAACAGCATCTCAAAATCACGAGATGTAATCCCTTCTTTCATGTTCTTCTGATACAAATTTCTCTTCGAAGAGATCTTCTCAGAAATGCGAGGAGGTGTAAATTTTATTGGAACCTTCGTCTAATACAAATTTGTGTCTAAAACAATGTCAGCACCACAGGATCCCGAGGAAATCCCCACTAAAAATTGTTGTATCAGGGTTACAGAAACCGAATATTTTCTTAAACAATTTGTATTAAAATTTAACAATAAATTGCAATAATATTATAGTATTACTTACGGCAGATGATGCTAATTGCAAGGAACACTAGGCTCAGCACAGTCATATACGCAAACCCGTAATAAACCTGGGGCTCGGTCAGACTTCAGCGTCGTTGAAGGATGCTCATCATACTTTGAGCCGCAACCGTCAGAGGAAAAAACGAGGCAAACACACGCAATGAGCCGAACAATGCCCGACAGACGCACCAGCGGCGTTGAGAGTCCTATGACGATGTGAACGGCCGCGATCTCGTCCTCCAAAATGATAGGGAGCGCGAAACCTGAAACCTCGAATAGCGACCGGTCGTCAGAAGATTATCTATTGTGATCCCCGACACACTAGAGCAAAACAATTTCCGAAACCCATTAAACGGTCAACACGCTACATACAATAAATACGCAGAGAGAACATATTATAATCGTCAAACTTTGATTGGAAACTCCGAATTTCCCTACAAATCTGCATTTACCAAATTTTTTTTCGTTTTTCTTGTAAAGGTAAAACGTCGTAATCGTAATATTCGAGCACAAAACAGCACTAACGATAAAATACGGATTTTTTAAAATACGAAGCATGGGTGGGGCCAACTTCACACAATATTTTAGGTTTCTTAGTTTTTCTGGAAAGACGAGATGCTGGAATCGCAATTTTCGAGCACAAAACAGCACTAAGGTAACCTAGAACGTAGCACCAATAATCACATGTGGTTTTATCCAATAGAAATGTATGGGCGGAGCCAACCTCTCACTTGACTTTTTTAGGAACAGCGAAAGAATTTGAGTGACTGTTTATCTGACATTTAACAGCACTGACGTCGCAGTAACACCGTATGTGTTCATTATTTCGATAAGTAAAATTTGAGTGTGAAGTTGACCCCGCCCCATAGCAGCACTAACGTAGCACTAATTGTAGACGCATTTTTGTCAAGTGATTTCATGTGGGCGGGTCAACTCCATAGGGGTAAAGATGAGCCGGTAGGCAGCCGCTTGAAGATAAGTCAGCTGGGTTCAAGTTTCCGGGAACATGGCAGAACATGTAATAATTAAAAAAAAAGAAGCATTTAATTCGGGAATAGGGCACTTAATTAGCACCTAATTATAGTTAGTTCATTTTTCATTTTCTTGGGTTTTAAAGGTAGTGTTCTGCTGAGTTCATATGAACCTGGCAGAACATGTCATAATTAAAAAAAAAAGGAGCATTTAATTCGGGAATAGGGCACTTAATTACCACCTAATTAGTACCTAATTATAGTTAGTTCACATTTTCTTGGGTTTTAAAGGTAGTGTTCTGCTGATTTCATATGAACCTGGCAGAACATGTCATAATTAAAAAAAAAAGGAGCATTTAATTCGGGAATAGGGCACTTAATTACCACCTAATTAGTACCTAATTATAGTTAGTTCACTTTTTTGGGTTTTAAAGGTAGTGTTCTGCTGAGTTCATATGAACCTGGCCGAACATGTCATAATTAAAAAAAAGGAGCATTTAATTCGGGAATAGGGCACTTAATTAGCACCTAATTAGTACCTAATTATAGTTAGTTCACTTTTCTGGGTTTTAAAGGTGGTCTTCTGCTGAGTTCATATGAACCTGGCAGAATATGTAATAATTTAAAAAAAGGAGCATTTAATTCGGGAATAGGGCACTTAATTAGCACCTAATTAGTACCTAATTATAGTTAGTTCACTTTTCTGGGTTTTAAAGGTGGTCTTCTGCTGAGTTCATATGAACCTGGCAGAATATGTAATAATTTAAAAAAAGGAGCATTTAATTCGAGGATAGGGCACTTAATTAGCACCTAATTAGCACCTAATTATGCAATATGTTTGAAAGTGTTCTGCTGACCTTGCTCTGCTAGGTTCATGGACATCTGTATTGACCCCACATGTTGTCGCTCCCTATCCAGACCAATGCAGTACTTAAATCAGACCAAAAAGTAGGGTGGTATATCCCCAGCTTTTAATCCTTTTTTCCAGAAACAGCCAACCTTGCACCAATTAAGCAGCCTAATAGTTCCAAGGTCCATTCCAGGCATCAGCTAACAATTGAGCTGACATGGTGAAACTTTGCTTTCTAGTAGCACACAATAAGGATGATTTCTTCAATGAAGTTCCAAAGTTACAACAATTCAGAATATTCTTCAAACTGTTTACTTTCTTCTAATCTTTTAGTAGCATGATTCAGACGTGACTTTGCTATCTATCCAAGGAGGGGATACAAATTTTCCATCTGCATTCCTTGTCAAAGAGTTGAACCTTTGCTTATCTTCCTGTTCTTGTTGTTCCACAGATACCTACCACATCCGTTTCATCTCGAATTCCAAGCAGGCCGAGATCATCTTGAATAGCCATAGACAGTATACACGTTGATAAGTTATTACCTTCATTTTCACCCATCCTCCCTCATAATGTCCAACCTAACTTAGTTTCTGTGACTTCATTCATTGGAAAGTGTTTTCTTTTTGCCCGTCAGAAGTCTTCCATAGACGTCAGCACCAAGTAAGATTTCAATTGGAGGAACTTTTCTTGTTCAACTCTTTAACCACAACACAGTCACTTGAAGCACGTGGGATAAAGTTGCAGATCTTTTCTTCGTCACGTACGCCAATGACTTTTCGACCAATCATGTCCAATGTCACTTGATGCACATTGTGAGTAATCCTTCCGTCTGAGTGCCTCCACAGAGTGAATGAGTAAATTTGCTTGTCCCCTTCACTTCCAGTCCTAGATCCTCAGCGGTTGACTTCAAAATGTAGGATCCTTGGGAGCCGTTGTCCAAGAATATTCTCACTGTCTTCTCCAATCTTTGCTTTCACGAGTCTTCTCACAAAATAAACAAGATTGATCTCCGTCATGACAAGAATCTAAGGTTGGGGTAGGCTGAGATAATTTGTTTTTAACTTGAACATTTTATTTCTTTGGTTTGACCTCCATTCCAAATCCTCTTCGAGCCAAACTAATCTTCTATTGGATCCCCACTTCCATATCCAGAAATGCTATAGGTGGGTCTCAGCGGTTCCTCGAAAGCGTATTATTACTTTCATCGTGGGCAGCTAAAGAACTACGCTGCCATGTCAAAAGGATCTCTTCTGGTAGACTTAACTCAATTAATGGATAAAGCCAAGTGGCAGGATCAGTTTTCTCAAGATTAAGTGTTTTCAGTGTGATTCATGGTTCCAGGTAAAAGTGACTGAAGTAAATACTGGAACTTATCAGTAAAGAACCATCCTTGTCAATTTTCTCAAATTGAACCTAATATCCGAGCCAATCCTTGAACGGTTCTTTCACTCGATCTTGGCCAGTCGAAATGTAATACTGGATGGGGACAATACGACTGGTACCAAAGATCCTATAATTTCCTCAGCTTTAGAACAAGTCGGTTACTTCTGTCTCATTTCTATAATAATAGCTTCATATTCTGCCGCTTGATCCGTTTCGCCAACTCCATCATCCACCATTTTAGAATGAAAGGGTTTAACAAACCCATTTTTCAGTTCGCCAGCAAACAATCAACACCTTCTGGGTGCCTCGTTGAGGAGCACGTAAATTTCATCCTCAGACCTATATTCATCTCAATCATCTGGAAGTACTCGAGCGAGACTATTGCACTAAAACCTACCCCAGGGTTAGACTCGCTTTGTGTAAATAAACTCTTGGTTAAATTACCGCCAAGGCCATCGAGTGCGCCATGGCCAAAACAACGCAATTCGGTGCAAGGTGGGACCGTTATCTCCAAATTCAGTAGAACCATGTCTAAATCTCAAGTACCGAAATCGATCCACGTGTATTTATTTCCTCGAGTTCGAGATAACGGGGGAAATACATAAAAGAATAATCTGCGCGCAATTTTAGTAAAACCGCGATGCCAGCCACGGAAGAGCAGAAATTCGCCTTCGTGAGGTCGCTGAGTCAGTATGACTCGAAGAAGTTTAAAACGTTGATACCGCAGGTTGGTCTCGTAGAGTTTTCGATTGAGGAATGACTCGGATTGTTGTAGATCATTAGCACGATGATCGTGATGTGTTTGAATATCATGGTTGGGATAACCTACGGGTACTCTGCGATCTTTGTCCCGCAGGCGCTCGCGGAGAAGGACAGCCCAGCTGCTATAGAGCTATCGCATGGGGAGATCGCGTGGATAGGTGAGTGAAAGAGGTGATTCTGGGTTTGAGCGGGTGGTTTTTAGTGAGCTGCGTGGTTGCGATCGCGCCGATTGGCGCGATGAGTGGAGGCTTTATAATGGACGCGATCGGGCGGTTGAATCTGTTGAAGATTGTTGCGATTCCGAGCGTTGTGGGGTGGCTTCTTCTTGCCATGGCGAAGAATGTTACGATGCTGATCTGTGGGAGACTCATGACTGGAATTGCGTTAGGTCAGTTTCGTTCTGCAACACCGCGACAAACCACGTCCAGTTTTAGTGTGGCTCATGAATCCTGGCAACGTCTACCTTACGGAAATCAGCCGGAAGGACGTCAGGGGATCCTTTACCAGCGTCTGCTCGTTGGGCGCCTCCATCGGTATGCTCGTGGTGTACATCGAAGGGTGGTACTTGACCTGGCGCATGATTGCATGGATCAATATCGGGTATACCGTCGTTTTTACCCTTCTGCTTTTCTTGATTCCCGAAAGTCCCGCCTGGCTAATGTCGAAGGGGCGCGTAGAGCAGGCGAGGAAGTCGCTTGAGTGGTTCCACAAGGATCAACCCCCACCAGAAAACAAGGTACGTGCTTTCCCAGTTCCGTTGCGTGTAACACCATCTTCCAGAACGTCACCTTTGCCCTACTGTCACTAACTACTCTGCACAAGGAACACTTGGCTAAGAAGCAGGAGCGCGAACAGCTCAGCAAAAACGGAGTGGTTCAGAAGCTGAAAATGTTCGGCCAACCTTCAGGGTACAAACCCATGCTGATCACTTCCGGCCTGTACTTCTTCCAGCAAGCCTCCGGTATTCACGTGATCATTTTTAATAGCGTCATCTTTTTTCAGGTTTGTTTAATGCCGTTCGCCTGGTGTCGTTAGTTTTCCTTTTTAGGACATCGGCACCAGTATCGACCCCTACCTGGCAACCGTCTACATCGGGTGCATGCTTTTGATTATGACCATCATAAACACAGTGCTCATGAAAAGGTTTAACAGACGCACCCTGATGATGACGAGTGCTACCTTTATGGCCATTTTTATGGGGATATCGGGATTGTACACGAAATGGATAAAGGAAGGCACGACGACTCAGAGTTGGATACCGCTGGTGGCGTTGATAATCTACTTCATCGCCGCCGCGATCGGTTTCATGACTATACCGTTCATGGTGCAGGCCGAAGTCTTCCCGTTGGCGATTCGCGGGGTCGCCCACGCGATCATATCGAGCGTGGCCAACCTCCTAGCCTTCGGCGCGATTCAGTACTACTTCCCCATGAGACAGTGGATGGGACCCTCCAACTTGCAGTACTTTTACGGCATCATGTCACTAGCCGGACTGGTGTTCGTCTTCGCCTTCATGCCAGAAACTCACAATAAGAAGCTGTCGGAGATCGAAAACTACTTTTGGAAGCACACGACGTATCTTTCCGTTTCACAAAGTGAAGACCAAGCGAAACAGCCAGACCCACTCGACATAGTTGAGTCAGTTAAATGAGTTGAGGGGACTAGTTGCTAGTTTGAGAATCTCACAAGACGGAAGAACTGAAAAAAAACATTTTAAACAATAAAAGATAAAAGAAATACATTGAGTTTGTCTTTGTTTCTACGGAACTTAACTAAAATTCTACGCAGTTGCTCAAAACAATCTTGTCCTCCCTGTCCTTTCCACCTACTGGCAATTCTATAAAGTGTGTCCGGTTCGAAGGACCGCAGCATTAGGGTTGTAAGGTCTATGTACACCACCCATCCGGCTCGAAGGATCAAAATGTAGCGTTTGGATCGGAAATCCTCACATACACCAAAGCAAAACTTTGGTGGATCTGGAACAGTTGTTTTAGTTTACATGATAATAATTAAAAAATGTCAATGAATCAAATATAAAAATGTTATTAGTGTTCTTCCTCTTTTATTCTTTCCTCCCTCCCCTACACCACCTTCTCAAATTTCATCATCGTCGACCTTTCTACATTTAGCTCCACTCTTTTCCTTTACCAATACATCTCCATTCTTCCCATTTTTTTATATTTGTTCTACCTCTGTTTTCTTGATCACTGCGTCGTCCGCGTGTGTCAGGGACCATATCTGGGTATACCTGTCTCAGGCGGTCTATTCTCCTATTCTTACCTCATTCGTTATTCTTTCTGTTTCTTCATTTTTTTTACTTTACATTTACATTTACTCCTTTTTTCTGTTCTCTCACCTCTTTCTCTTCTATTTCCCCTCGTTTTCTTCTCCGTCATTTCTCTATATCTGTTTGTCTCTTGTGTACGCTCTCTGTCTCACCACTCCGTTCTTTTTCTCTCCCTCCCCTTCAGTTATTTGTATCCACGTTATTGCTTTTTAAATAATCTCCTTTACATTATTCCGCTCCTCCTCTGTACTTCCTCCCATTAGTTTTCCTTCTCCCTCTATACATAGCCACCGTGACTCTTGTCCATAACTGTATCTTCTTTCCTCTTTGTTTCTTTTCATTTCTTGATTTTCTCATCTCCACTCAATTCCTTCCGATTCTATCCTTGTTCCTACCTTAAATCCATCCATTTCGTCCAGTATTTTTCATCTACTATTGTCCAATGAATTACCGACCTTCCTCTTTCTCCTGTGTATGTTAATTGACCGTCCCTATCTCCCCCCCTCCACCCCATATTTCCGTTTAAAATACTACAACCTCTCGGTTCTGATATAATTCCAGTAACTACACTTCTCCCTCTTGGTTGTTATCTCTTGATTTTCTATCTATTCTTGTCTTTCCATCTCTACCCATTTCCCACATGTAGCGTTAGGAGTGTACTATCCGTCTCGAAGGACCGCAGCATTAGGGTTGTAAGGTCTATGTACACCTACCATCCGGCTCGAAGGACCAAATGCAGCGTTAGGGTCGTAAATTCTAACGCACAGCCAAGTAAATTCACTTGCACATCTGAATGTCACCATTATTTTACTCCCTCCCATACATATTTTGGTAACCTCTCTCTGATTAGATCTTTGTAACTGCGACCTCCTCGCGCGCTCTCTATATTTACCCTATGTTGGTATATTTGGGCATCAGGTCCGTTTTTGTCAGCTCATTTTCCATCCTTTGTCCTATTCCTCTCCCCTTTACTATCTCAGACCGTCCGTATCCACTTCTTTCATAATATTTTCCTGTATGTTCCTCCCAGATTTCTTTTGCGTTCATCCTTGTTGTCAACATTTGCCTTTCTTTTTCTCGTCTTTTTTTGCATCATATGGTCCTGCGTCCCGATGATATCCTTATCTTTTCCATATTTGTTTCTTCATAGTTGGTGTTCTTTCGTTTAGTCCCAGTATCCATATATCCTTTGTATTCCTTTCAGTTCATCCCATTTCTTCCACCCCCATATATACGCTCTGTACATATGAACCCCTCCCACTACTGCACCGACCAGGTATTTTCTTGTTCTGAAATTGTTTTTAAACCCCTCCCCCCATTCCCCACACCAGTCTCATTGCAGCCACCACCTTTTTTCTTAGTTTTATTATTTCCTCCATTCCTCTTTTATTCTTTCCTGCCTCCATTTCCATTCTATTTCTTTTTTCCCTCCACCACCTTCCCACATCTCATCATCTTCCTTGATTCTGTCCTTTAACTTCTTGTCTATTTTCCCGTCTTCCATCATCTTACATAGTTATTCCCTTTCTACTCTGTCAAACGCTGCCAATTCCTTTTCCACCAAATACACAGTCGATCTCACCCCCCCCCCCAACCCTACATTTGTGTTTCCTCCAACATCCCCTTCTCCTTCATTTCTCTTGCTTATCACATCCGTCCTTATCGCCTCTTTTGGAAATCGGCACCATTACACCTTTCTTCCATTCTTCGGGCAAACCCCCCTCTTTCCATACATTGTTTACTAGATTCCTCATCCTTTACGAATAATAATAATAATTATGTTTCCTTGACCGTATCTGTGGCGAAAATCCTATCTCGTCATTCCCTGCCACTTTCCCTTTCTTTAGTCTTTTTGGTTGCCGCTCTTGTTATCTCATCCCCATCAACCTCCTCTCTTCTTACCTTCACCTTTAAGGAAAGCAGGAGAGAGAGAGAGGGCTCTTTCTCCTTCTTTCCATATAGTACTTTGATGAAATGTTGGTTCCATTCCTCAAATCCTCAAATTATATTCTCTCACACTTCTTCTACTTTTCCTTTTTCCTCTGTTTATCATATTCTAAAAATCTTTCTCTGTTTTTATTTCTCTTATTTACTCTTCGTATTCTTTTTGTTTCTCCATCCTTTTTTCTTTACGGTTCCATGTATTCCTTTTTTCTGTTCTCTCACCTCTTTCCCCTCGTCCTTTTTTTTCTATAATTTCTCTATACCTGTTTTTCTCCTCTGTGCTCTCTTTGTCCAACCACTTCTTCCCCCCCCCTTCTTCAGTTATCTGTTTCCACGTTATTGCCTTTTTAATACTTTCCTTTACATTATCCTACTCCTCCTCTGTACTTAGTTTTCCTTCTTCCTCTATCTCCCTCTATACAGCTCTACCGTGTCTCTTGTCCATAATTGCACCTCCCTTCGTCTTTGCGTTTTTGAATTTTTTGATTTCCTTACGCTCCCCTTTACGCCTACTGGCTACTTCCATCAGTTGGTCATCCGATTCTACCCTTGTTCCTATTCAAATTTCTTCTTACTCTGTTATTTACTATTTTGTAATCAATTACCGACCACCCTCGTCCTCCCAAGTATGTGAGTATATTCCTTTATAATTCAGTTTAAAATTCTCCAACCTCCCTTTTTTTATAATACTAGTGCTTTCCATTTTCTATCTATTCCACTTTCCATCTCTACCCATTTTCCTTTACTTGTTCTGGGATTAAAATGCCCCCCCCCCTCAATACTAGCCCCTACCCCTTACTTTCATTTACTATATTTTCTATTTTATTTTGTAAGTCCAGTCTTTCTCGGTTGTATATCGTTTTCAGGCTCATTTTCCTACTATTAGTTTCCTATATTCCCATCTGAACCTCTTTACTATCTCCTTGTACCCTTATTTCTGCATATGTCATCTATGTATGGTATATCTCGCCCTCCTTTGACTTTCCCTTTTCCCTTATACCCTCCATCACCTTCTTTCATGCTAGTTCCGTGACTACTACCTTATTTCCCCTTACTTCAAATGTTCTCGTTTCTTTTACATTCGCCTCTACTTGTGGATTCTTATCCATTCTCCCGTCCTCTCTCCCTCCCTTCTTTTTTCAATATCTATTCCCTTTCCGTTACGTTGTTTTATATTTCTTCTCTCTTTGAGTTTTGTTATGCATTCTATAAATTCTTATTTTTCCCTATCCTATAGCTCTTCCCACCTCTTCATTACCTCCTTCAATTGTCCTATTCCTTCATCATCTTCACTTTCATTTTATCTAATTGTCCCTTTGTCTCATTAGCCGCTCTTTTTATTTCTTCCTTTACTCAATTTCTGCAGTGCTTTTTCCTTTTCGCCTCAATTCGCTTCTTTCCCCTGTTTCTATACCACTCTCCCTGCTTTCTCTTCACTACCGCTTTCTTCTGTTCCGCTGATCTTGTAATTTTCTTCCTCCTCAACATTTCGAACCACCCTTCCTCTTTTTCTCCCTAGACTCATCTCCAACCGCATTAGGTACTTGCATTCGTCCCTTTAATGATTAGCACCATTTTATAGGAGATTAAAAAAATTATAATATAGTAGGGTTGCGTCCAGGAGAGATAGCGGTAGGTCATTCGGCTTCGGGCCACTAGAGCGCCAAGTGAAGCAGGTGAACAGTTGGCAAAAGGTGACGGTTCAATCCCCGATTAATTGCACAAAAAATCCATGAAAACTTCATCAGTATTCCTTCCAGAGATCAATATTTCATTCTATATTGTACAGTTTTAAAGCTACAATTAAGGTAACGTAATCCTTTTGATTTCTATTCAAAAATCGAGACACTGCCTCTCACTGCGTTAGGAAGCGCATCGGAGGTTCTTTAGAACTTATTCAGAGACTATTCTCTGAACTGTTTATCACAACTTGGAAAATACGAACTTTCAAAAATTAAAGAAGCGGAAAGATCAATAGAATCTGACGGATCTGAAACATTTCAGGAATTTGAAGAATCGGAAAAATAAGAAATTCGAAGGAAATCAAGGGTCTAAAAAACCTTGATAACCAGGAAAAAAAAATCCATAGAACAATCTCTTGGACCAAAACGATTGAGAGAAATTGAAGAATCATTAGAACGAGAAGAATTGGAAGAAGAATTTAAAGAAACTAAGGAAAGAGTATTTGGCAAAACTTTTTTGATTCCAGGAGAAACTTTGGCAAGGGCCTATGAAGAATTTTTGAATTAGTCCTTGAAGTACAACTGAAAAATCTATTTTTATTTTTGGGTTTTTAAAGCTGTTTCTTTCCAGGGTGCCTGTGTGAAGCTGGATTTGTGTGTTAATCGGTAAAAGCACAAAGTTTGTCTCATCCTGAAATAAAATCATGCTCAAAAATAAACCGATAATTCCAGCAATTTTATCGGCCACTTATCAGTTTTGTCACGACGAATGTACCGTATCGATAGACAAAGGTGATTAGATTACCTTTGGTCCAAGGATTTAACGGTATAAAAATGAGCACCAACAATGAGATTTCACTTTTTACAGAGCCGGAATGTTGACCACGACGATGCCCCCGAGTGAAGAAAGAAGATCTTTCAAAAACCTCGTGATAAGCTGTCGATCGTTGAGCCAGTACGAGGTGAAGAACTGCAAGGTGCTGATACCGCAGGTAAATCGAGTGCGCGTGATTGCTGGATACAATTTGCGTTTCAGCTGATCGCGGCGGTGGTGGCGATGTGCCCCAACATTCTGGTGGGCATTACCTACGCGTACTCGGCGATCATGGTGCCGCAAATGATGGAGGAGCAGAATAGTACCGATCCATCCGTCCTGCACGTTAGCCAAAATGAGATGTCCTGGATAAGTAAGTTGACCAAACTCTCGTTCGGCTAACCTCTTCGTTCTGCTGTAGCCAGCTGTCTGATGCTGTCGACCATGGTGGGGGCGTTAAGCGCCGGGGTTATAATGGACATAGTCGGTCGTTTAAATATGTTGAAGCTGATGGCGGTACCAAGCCTACTGGGATGGGCTATGCTAGCGCTTGGTCGCAACGTTCCAATGCTGATAGGAGGACGGATCCTGACCGGGATTGCCCTAAGTAAGTCGATGCCTTTATTCCACCAAGCGTCCACCAAGTGCGTTTTCAGTTTGGTCAGCCAATCCCACCGCCGTCTACATAACTGAGATCAGTAGGCCCGACGTTCGTGGTTCCTTTTCCGGCATGCGGCAACTCGGAGTCTCGCTCGGTAGTAGACGTTTCGGCTGTTCACCATGATCAACCTCCATCTTTCAGGTATGCTGTTCGTTTACTTCAAAGGGCTCTACCTCAACTGGAGAATAGTCGCGTGGATGAACTGCGGCTACACGGTCGTATTCGCCCTACTGACCCTAATAGTGCCCGAAAGCCCCGTCTGGTTAGTCTCCAAAAATCGCATGGACCAAGCCAAGAAGTCGCTGGAATGGTTCCACAAGTACCAGCCTCAGCCTCAGAATCAGGTTGCAACAATCCTCCACGTGGGAGAATCTAACTGGTTGATTTTCCAGGTGGCGAGCTTTGCCGAGCTGCAACTGGGTGTCTTGCAAAAGGAGAACGTGATCAAAATGAAGGAACGCGAGAAGTTGAGCTCTAACAGCGCGGTGCAGCTGCTCCAAATGTTCCTCCAACCCACCGGCTATAAGCCCTTCTTGGTCATGACTGGGCTATACTTCTTCCAACAGTACTGTGGAATCCACCTGATCGTCTTCAACGGGGTGGTCTTCTTCAAGCAAATTGGCACGGACATCGACCCCTACATCGCCGCGTCGTACGTTGGAGGAATTCGCCTCGCTGTCAACATTCTGAACATATACCTCACGAAGCGGTTCAACAGGAGGACCCTCATGATGTCCAGCGGTATCGGTATGGCGGTCTGTATGGGAACATCCGGTCTGTACACGACCTGGCTTCAAAAAGGTAAACAACCCCCGACCACTAACCAAACTGAACGGCCAGTTTCAGGCACCGTCACCTCCGGATGGATTCCCCTCGTCCTGCTCATGATCTACTTCGGTTTCGCCGCCATCGGTTTCCTAACGGTGCCATTTTCGATCCAGGCGGAAGTCTTCCCGCTAGCGATACGCAGCCTGGCGCACGCAATCATTTCGGTAATGGCGGGCCTAATCTCGTTCGCCGTCCTCCAGACGTATTTCTCAATGCACGACTTCTTCGGAGGCTCGTCCGGCCTCCAGTACTTCTTCGCCATCATGAGCATGGGCGGATTCGTCTTCGTGCTGGTGTTCATGCCGGAAACGCACAAGAAGAAGCTGTCGGAAATCGAAAAGTACTTTTGGAACCACACCACCTACCTGTCGGTGCCGCAGGATGACAAGGAGCCAACGAAGCAAAAGTCCGTGGAGCTTGTCGCAATCGTCGCGAAAAGTTAGGCCGGCCTTCGACGCGTAAATTACGGAATCTCGTGTGTGTTGCCTACGCGGTAGGCACTTGTCGTCGCCAAGTGGCTCGGAACTAAAGAAACTGTTACTATTTAAAATCTATGTTAAAATAAAAAATCTTCTTAACTTTTCTTTATTTACCACCGTTTCCTAACGATCCGAACCAACCATAGAAGCTGCGATGCCTTACACAGGGTGTGCCCATTGCCCATTAGAGGGTTACGGCGTTAGTCTGTCGGCCGCTTAGGATAGATCTTCTTAATGGGGTTCATGGGAAGCGATGAATCTAAACGAATCAAATGAGCTAATGATTAAAGATGGCCGCATTAACTAATTAGAGCCATTTTTTGGGTGTTCTTGTCAAGTAGAAACCGGTAGGGACGGGTCCAGAGAAGAGAGATTTAAGGCATTCGTTTTTGGGCCATGAGAACGTCAACTGCGATTAGCTCTCGAGTCGGAAAATATGTATTTATGACTCGCAACACGCGATATCAATCGAACATGTCGGAAAAAATAAGCTCATAGGGAAAATTTCGTGATTAGCCCCCGTACCTAATTCGACTCGCTGGAAAATATGCCCAATCCGTGCGAATTGTGGAAAGTTAACGAACCGAACGTGGTAAACGTGCATTCCGTAAGAGTTTGCCAACAGAAGAGACTATATTGCCATTTTCTCGACTTCAAATTACAGGGCCATCCAGTTTTTATCCAAGGTTGGACGACTCGACGGTTATTAAGACGTTTTATGAATTAGGTAATGTGTATGCTTATACTCAATATAGATCGTGTCTCTTTCAAGGATTTTTATTTTTATTTCGGAGAAGTTACTCCAGTTTTTCTGTCCATTTTTTTTAAGTTCAATGTTAAATAACGGAAGTCTTCTAGCTGAGTCACGTATGTATGTAATATATATACGCCCACTCAAAAATACAGGTAAATAAATAAATAAATAAAAAACAAAACCTTTCAAGTGACGTTTTGTGAAATGTCAAAGAAGTGTAGATCCAGTTCGTGTTTTAGCTATTTCGTTTGTCGCTTAAACTTTCAAGCCAATGACTGTAGTAGTGCCGTGGAGTGTCTGGATTGCACAGAAGAGACTATTGCCATTTCCTCGGCTTCAAATTACAGGGCAATCCAGTTTTTATCCAAGGTTGGACGACTCGAGGGTTATTTAGACGTTTTATGAATTAGGTAATGTGTATGCTTATACTCAATATAGATCGTGTCTCTTTCAAGGATTTTTATTTTTATTTCGGAGAAGTTACTCCAGTTTTTCTATGTCGATTTTTTTTAAGTTCAATATTAAATAACGGAAGTCTTCTAGCTGAGTCACGTATGTATGTAATATACATACGCCCACTCAAAAATACAGGTAAATAAATAAATAAATAAAAAACAAAACCTTTCAATTGACGTTTTGTGAAATGTCGAAGAAGTCAGACAGTGTAGTTCCAGTTCGTGTTTTCGCTATTTCGTTTATCGCTTAACTTCCAAGCCAATGACTGTAGTAGTGCGGTGGAGTGTCTTGATTGTACAGAAGATAGAGGAATTCCTTTTGGGCGAACGAAGAAAGGTAATTGACGTCATACATTTAAGCCATTTTTAAAATTGGGTGCGGAAAATAGTAATCGGAAATTTAAAAGCATTCAAAGGCCAGTTAAGAGACTATTTAATGTTTTCGTATATCTCTTTAAAGTCTTCAAGAGCCTTTAAAATGTGCAAAAAGTCTTACAACGACCTCAAAGATAGACCAAAAAATTTCCTCTAATCTGTCAAGCCCTTGCAATTCCTCTTCTCTTAGAGAACCTGGTTTTAACGGATTTTACCTTTCGTCTGCGTGATGTCCTTGAAATTCCCCTCCTTTAAAAGGCGAGCCTTTAACCCCTCTTTCCTTTTGTGAGTCCTCGAAAGCTTTTATGGGTTGTCAAGAGGAGTGGGCACTTAAAGACTTTTATTAGTGTTTGAGAGTCCTTACGGGCCTAAAATCTTAAAAGCGTTTATTTAAGAGCCTTTGTAAATCACCTAATGTTTTCTCTTCAATGATCTCCACCGCCATTTACTAGCTTTTGGGGCCCATGACAGGTCCTTAACTCCTTTTGTGGGTCCTTAAGAGCCTTTAATGAATTCTTAGAACTCCTGAAACATTTTCATGGACCTTCAAAGACCTTTAAGATCTTTCAAAAATCACAAAAGGTCTCCAAGGGCTGCGAAATGTCCTAGAAATTGGCCAAGAGTGAGTTTCAAAATCTTTGAAATGATCCAATTTTTTAACAAACTAACAAAACGCGAGCATTCGAAACAAATCGCACGCGAAAAGAACAATGCGCTGCGGTGAAAACAAAACGCTGTTTCTTTGGACAACCATTAGCAATTGGAATTTTTCTATTTATTTGGAGTTTCAGTTCTTAATTTTTTATTAGCACTCAGTGTGATTTATTTATTTGCGGTTCGCTGTCTTGTTTAACATAATCGCACTTATTTTAATACAACGCAGACCAAAGCTACTTCCCACGCACTGTAAATATTTCTTTTAATCACGTTCACCATCACTGTTCAAACACGTTGTTCAATAATTTCTCGCTGGGAACCGTCACTTAAGCAGTTCTACATACACAGTTACAATCAACAGGTGACACTACGAGAGCTCAGCGTTTTCCACCGGCCGACCGACTTAACTCACGCATCCCTCGCAATTCAATTCCGCTTATCATCTCCAAAACGTGCGTCTTTTAACTAAATATAATCTCATTATAAAAATAACGCTAAAAGCACATTTATAATGTTGTGTAAACAACGTCATGTAGACGTTATTTCCGTATAAAGAGTGGGCTCGTTTCATTTGAATTTGTATTTCAGTGTTGTTTTTCTTTTTAGAATTTGTGTAAATGCGTAATTGTTGTTTAAATTTTACCGCTTTTGTAATTTATTCAATTTAGATAATGTATTAGAAGTAAGACACATCTGGTCGTTTGCGATAAGAAGTTTCTATCAGGTGAAATTTAATTGACGCACGTGTTCTGTTAAGAGCTGTAGGTGTTTTACGAAGATTTGCTCGTTGTGTCGGCGTAAGTGAGGGCTCGTTCTTTCGCAGTGGGCATTATCAAATCTAATTGTTATTGACGAAATAGCAAGGTGCATCCTTCCATCTTTCTTACGTGTGGGATCGCTTGAGTGACGTTGAGGGGTCGGACGACTCTAGTCAGGGAGGTAGCACAAAGGGCCCGAATTTGAGGCCTAGGTGCGCGCGGACCCTGTCATAATCCAGAACCCCGAAATACAAGCGCTTAGAATGGAATCTCCCAAAGAAGTCACTAGAGTCCATTTTTAACTGTGCAGTTCTTCCCACACTTACATATGGCTTGAAAATTTGGTTTGACAGACTCAGGCATTCGCACGTGACAGGGGATTTGGCTGGTTTCAGTCCCCTTAAGACGTACACAGAACTATACCCAACGATTCCCTATGCGTTACTGGTAATACCGTAATAAACATATAAAATATAAATTATGTGCTCCTAATACATAAATTTCTGTCAGAACTTAATGTATGAGGATCACAGGGGTCGATAAATAATATACGTTTTACCTTCTGTATGTTTCTTGTGCTAATCTCTGTTATTTATGCTTACGATAGTACCTGGCGATCAAAAATGAGTTGCTTTCCCATAGAAAAAAAAATTCCAAAGGTGACTCGACAGCAACTCATTTTTGATCGCATAGTACATTATGATTTCCTGATACCTGTACAACAGTAAATCTATAAGTAGTATAGAGGGCGTCACCAAGTTGAAAGTAGTTGTGTTGTGAGCTAGCGCCAATTTGCATTTTATAGTCTCCTAATACAACCACTTGTCGCAGAAACGAATGTATCAAGAGGATAGGAGGATAGGCGAAACCCTAGGCAGCAATGGTTCGCTCTGAAAATAGCCAATATGGTTTCCTGATACCTTCATGCGCTATAGTAGAGACGCAAACTAACTCGGGCTACCACTTGCGTTTTACGTTCGTTTGATAAAAGAAATTAGTGGGACAGGAGTATAGGAGTTGATAAATGAAAAATTGACTGCCATACATATTTATGTTCTGTTTCCCTGGTCTTCATTCGTGATTATTACAGAATCTTAGAATCAGCTTGTTCTCGCATGTCAGACGATCATCAAGGAAACTCGTTTGAACAAGTTAAAAAAAATCCTTGGTTTGAGACAGACGAAGGCTTCACTAATCCTACTCATCCGTGAATGTGTCAGGTTCTCAGAATAGTAGATTATGATTTCCTAATACCACAATTCCCCACTAATTTATAGTATAGAACGCACAAGAGGAGGTAGAAATAGGTCACGCTATAAGATAACACATCTTGCATTTTATGTTCTCCTACTGCAAACATTTCTGTACCCTGCATGCCTGATCATCTTCATGTCCAAGAGTAATTCCCTATGAGCAGTGTAGAAGACGTACACTAAGTAGAAATAGGTTGTGTGCTTTATTGTATCCTAATACAAACAATTGATTCAGAAATTAGTGTATCAGGAGCATAGCAACAATTTTTTGAACCGTAGGAAAATACACAGTTGGCTGTGGGTAGGTATTTCGGCAGTTGGTCGTGGATGTTATGTTTCGGTAGTTATCCCGGTGGTTTGGCCCGGGGTGCGAGATCAAATTTTGGCAGTTGGTCTGTGATGCAAGGTCAATGATTGGTAGTTGGTTCAGGGTGCGAGACAATATTTAGGTAGTTGATCCGCCATCTTGGATGCCATTTTGGATCCGTCGTCATCGGTGATTGCTGAAGAACAATTTTTATATTGGCTTTGGGATTCGAAACCAGGATACCTGAAATGGAAGGCTAACGCGTAACTGTTTCTATGTCACCTCTCCCTGTGACCCGATCAACATCTAAGCGGCAATCGATCTCAGTCCCAGGAGGAGGACATGCAAATGCAGTGACAGTCAGGGAGTGCTAAGAGCATTGTCAGCGACAGGTAAGCTTGATATGGGTGCCAGCGCATTGCGGAATAGAGTGTAATGAAGGGATGGAAGGTATTGGTGGGGTCTGCCCTAAGAATTGCTCCCTTCGTGGTCAGGGCCAGGATTAAAGACTGGGCGATCAGTCAATTCCAGGCTCAGTGG